CCCGCCAGTCGGGTCAGGCCTAGGTTGAGTTGTTTCCTGTTCTGAATTGGTGTTTGGTATAAATACCAACACGTTTTAGGGTATCTTTGGCGCAGTCAAGGGGATAATTTGAGCACGGAAAACATAGATCTTTCTAAAGCTATTAGCTAGGATTATTGTTTGAGAGATTGAGAGCTTTGTTGGTGAGATTAGTTAGTTTGTTTTGAATGATTTATAATCTCAGTTTGTACTCTCCTTCTCTATTAGTGAAAAACTCACCCCCTTACCCCGTGGGCATAAGCAACTTGCCGAACCACGTAAAAATTGGTTGTTTGTGTTTGTGTCGTTATTTTTCATTGTTTGGGTTTCTCTCTCGGCGTTTGTGTTTGGTTCCTCGAAGCACAACAATTGGCTTCCGCGTACAACAGTAAGGGGTTGTTTGGTTGTATGTTTTTACCATGTAAAATGATGAAGAGTGTAAAAAAGTGGGTCCCAATATCAGCTTTCATCGCTTTCAATTGTTTGTTTGTAGTTGTGAAAATAGTGTAAAGTGATTTCATATGCTGATGTGGCTTGTAAAGTGATTTCATAAAAAAAGACATGATTTTAGGAGAAAGCTGACATTGAAGTCAGGAAAAAATAATAAAAAATAATTCCAACCAATATGATCATTTGAATTGGGACCACTTTTTACATTTTCCAAACAAACAATTAAAGTTACATTTACAAACCAAACAAGCAATTTATGATTCCAATGGAATAAAAAACAAACAAAGAAAAATATAAAAGTAAAATTGATGAGGTAGACAACAACTTTCCAAGTTGTGTCATAAATACACAACTTTACCAACAACAACCAAACAGCCCCTTACCATGTAGTGCTCTCCGCAATTAACCTTAAAAGATTAAATAGTGCTTTATTGAGTGGGTCTAGTCTTGATGCTATCTCCATGTGGAGTAATGAGGTGGGGGTTGTGTTAATTAAATAACAAGATAATTAAGGGGGGTTTTAATTGGTAGGTGGAGGGAAAAGGCTCAGAATTTCAATACAGCTTGCACAGGACCAGAGAGCTTCAGCTTTCTTTCACTTCTTTACAGGGTTTTGTGGATATTGGGTCTCTTGTGGGATCCATGAGAATTGGCTTTCTTTGGATAATTTTTAGATTGTAGGGGGGTGACTCGGACTTGATTTTTGATTTTGGTTGGTCTGGGGTAATTTTCTGAGTCATCCTTTCTCAGTTCCCTAGATGTTCTCCCTGTCAGATTTTTGAATAAAACCACAGAAAACTAATAATACTTTTATTTGGTCCTTTTTCTCTCAAAGCTGGCAAGTACTTGATTGTCTGTATTGTTCAAAGATGACAAGGATACCTATATTGCTGGTACAACTCGTATTTGACATTTAGCTGTATTAAGGGGTAAAATTGCATATAGACACCTTGTAGTGCTCTGTTTTGAACTTATTTACCCATTTCGTTTCATTATTGTGTATCTACTCTTTGGGGTTAAATTTTTATCAGCTCTTTTACCCTCAGATAAACTCATCAATTCTACAGTGGCACGATATCCGTCAAAATTTAACAGAGGCAAAAGTGCTTAACTAAAGAAGTCCATGTGCAACAATGAAACTATACAGAGGTAGGGGTCCTATGTGCAATTGATCCTTGTTTTTATTGAAGAGCGATATGTAGAACTCTCTTTGTTCTTTAGAAACTTTGCAAGAATTTTTTTATAATATTCTTTAAAAAAAACCTTTGCAGCTGAAAGCAAGCTTATTAATATCCACGAAAACATGTGTCAACTCCTCTACTAAACAACAGTAACATGAAAATATAACTACAGTAGTGGGGATATGTTCCTCATTCATAAATCTGACTTGACTT